AAGGGCGAAAAATCTCGGAGGGCCCGTGTGCAAGTTGCGCACGTTAAAGATCCCTTGGTGGTCTAAAATCGATAAGAGTAGGCTTCGGCCGCCACCCGGGCAAAATTCAAAATTTCCTACCAACGAAAAAGTATTAGGTGTGTCCCGCGCGCTCATATGACCTTATGCAGTTGCGAGCGCCGTAAAACCCTATACTAAACAACAAACAAACAAACATTCTGTACACCCAAACCCTACTCCTGTACACTCAAACCCCTGCCCTGTACACTCAAACTTCATTCTGTACACTCAAACCCCCATTCTGTACACCCAAACCCTACTCCTGTACACTCAAACCCCACTCCCGTACACTCAAACCCCATTCTGTACACTCAAACCCCCATTCTGTACACTCAAACCTCATTCTGTACACTCAAACCCCACTCCTGTACACTCAAACCCCACTCCCGTACACTCAAACCCCATTCTGTACACTCAAACCCTCATTCTGTACACTCAAACTCCACTCCCGTACACTCAAACCCCACTCCCGTACACTCAAACCCCTGTCCCGTACACCCAAACCCCCATCCTGTACACTTAAACCCTACTCCTGTACACCCAAACCCCTGTCCCGTACACTCAAACCCTACTCCTGTACACCCAAACCCCCGTCCCGTACACTCAAACCCTACTCCTGTACACCCAAACCCCCGTCCCGTACACTCAAACCCTACTCCTGTACACTCAACCCCTGCCCAGTACACCCAAACCCCAGCCTCACCTGGCTCCTCCAGCCATCTGTTCCTACAGCAGGGCCGGCCTCCCCGTCTGACGTGTATTCCCAGGTCTCCCCGAGACCGTCAAAGCGTTTTTGGATCCGTTTGTTCAGGTGGCGCTGAGAAAATATGGGAGAGGTTGGGAGAGATTGGGAGAGGTTGGGAGAGATTGTGAGGGGAAGTCAGGAGAGAGACTACAGGAGTGGGTTGAGGAGAAGTTAGAATAGAGGATACAAGAGTAGATCTAAGTAGAGGACAGTTCAGAGGAGAGTTTACTCCAGTTAGAGAAAAAAATAAAGGAGATGATAAAAAAATGAGTAAAAGTTATAGGAAATGCAGTAGGATAGAATATGTAAGAGAGGATAGCCATAATATGATACTATGAGAAATCAGTATTTTAAATTGGTGCCTAAACGATCCAAGTTTGTTCCCATGAAAAGTGCGAGTGGTGTGTAATGCGGCAAAGTGTTGATTTCGTCTCAAATTCATGCTATTTTCTCCGAAATAGTGTTGGCAAGTCATTTATTTATGAAACATAGATGTTTTTACGCCCAATCGACACAATTTAGATGATTTAGGAAACATGCTTCGGCCCTTAATGTCAGGGCCGGCCCGGGTTGGGCGGGATACAACGTCTCAGCAGACAGATTTGACAGAGATAAGAGTGATGGTAACTCTGTTGACTTACTTTGAGGTGGGTGACGATTTTTCTGTCCATTTCCACGCTGACGCGCTTGAACCTTTTAGTTTCCGTGAACTGAGGACAAATATTAGACCCACGTATGGTTATCGGACTGTACACAACTACATAGAATAAAGTTAAGATATCTCAAGTTATATAAAACCAGTACATGTAAACAATACATTAATGTGTAAAAAGATACTGTATATCAAAATCCCCCAAATAAACTCTTAACAAATTATAACAAGATATTTTCTAAGGAGATCATTTGACCTATTACCTACATCCAGGGTCTCCACTCTCTGTGTCTCCAATGTGTTGTCATAACTGAAATACGATTTTAAATTATTTAAGAATTGGTGGTTCGGGAGGGGGGGGTGAAATTGTAGCACCCTGGAGTAGCTAAGACGCTCCCGCCACGCTGACGAGCGCACTCTGGAACGATGAACCTGTTTGTTCTTAAAAGAATATTCCTATTTCTTATTCTGGAATAGAACATGTTATTAGCCGTCCATACTTACGTCATCTGAGAAAGACGTATGGCTGGCTCCTTTCCTTGGGGCGCGTAAAAATGTTGCCTCTTTATCAAGCGGCGGTAGCAAGGTGCTTTTCTTCCGCCCATCTTCGGCAAGCTGAAAAGGACAAGAAATAAATTTTCAGTTTGTGAAGTACAAAAACACATTAGATTATAACGATATATTGTGTTGTCCTCTCTAATGAAAACTGTCAGGGGTTTACTAGTTGTTTGTGTCATTTAGTGCTCTTCTAATTAAAAGTGGGTACTTGTGAAGTATGGACTTAGACCAGTTTAGAATGAATGAATACGTCGCCTGCACTTTAAACGTTACGTGTTGATGCTATTATACGATGTCACACCATAGAATGGTCAAGGGTAAAGATCTACGCTAGCACTTTATTCGGGACTCACATGATTTGACCTAAGCGAACGAGGTTCCAAAATCGCCCCTCTCTCCGTAAAAATTCACCTGTCGAAACAGATCACGAACTCGTTTCCCGTCGATTTCGATATGTCAAATGCTCTCAGTTTTAAACTGTTACACTGAAAAGACATGTTTTACCCCAGCTCTCACTGATCTTTAGCCCATTCTAATCATTGATGATATCCAACATGAAATAATGCATCCTTCTTGAAGTCTTATTCCTACCCCCCTGTGGTGAGCTGTGGTAACTATAACAGTGTGCCTCAAATAAAGAACACTTTAACTATTGGATACATAAAGAGGGGAGGGGAGGTTCTGGCCCAACTTCCCCCGTGTTATGTTGTGACGTCATGGGAAACAATTGGGTCCCTACGTACACCACTTTCTGTTCGCCAAGGTGGTGTCATGGCCGAAGGACACTTTCAAACTATTTATAGAATGGGGGGAAAGGAGCTTAAGGTGGGAATGCCCAAGAGAAGCTATTGCGATGCCGCCATACCGCCAGCTGCACCCTCGGGCGCATTTTCTAGCCTAAACTAGAGCAACGAACATAGGATTTGTCGATTTAATTTCGTTCTTGAGACCAACAGTTAATGTTCCGATTCTTGGTATTGCTTTGGGACAACGAGAATACACACCCTGCTCAGAACGGAAATTACTTAATGACCAAAACTGACAAGGCCATGGGCTTTCAAAAATGTGTTCCAATACAGGTATCCAATGACTAGAATATAGCCAACGAAAAATTCGCCTTTCCGACGATTTTATGTTCACTCGGACGACGACCCTATTTTGTTAGTCTTTTGAACTAAAATTTTCGGACAGACAAATTTCTTGTAGATAACATAAGTGAATCGATACCAGTGTTCGCAGGGATTCTAATACCCGAGGCATAGTGAGTATTGGATATGGTCTCTTTTTAAGCACAATCCTGAAAAATGCTGTTTTGAGAAAGTCGAAGATAAAGTTTTTGCTCCTCGTTCCGTGTTTATAAAAGACAAGGAGAGTTGTCTCTATAACCAAACAAATATACACACTAATGAAGCCAAACTTCTCCTATAGGTAGGGCAATGCCCACTTTTGGTGTAGGTCAAGATTTCTGGAAACCCCCGAAATTTGGGATAGCCCGCTTGTCCTTAAAAGCGACCATATTATGGTTGAAATAGCTCTGCATAGGAATGGGATATGGACTGCCACAGGCCAGCGATGAAAATGTGTATACTCTGCATTAATTACGTTTTATGTAGTCCCACCTTGCCTTCATTAAAGATTAGCTAACGCTGGATAGCAATAGCAGGAACGCGCGGAGCATGCAGATGGCTTGATTTCTTTGATGGTGAGTTAAACATACCATCTTCCTTGTGACTTTGATCAAATGTTACCGAGGTTGTTGTTTTTTTTATAAACAAAGACCTAAACTTAATTTTGGTTAAGTAACGATTTTTAAAAATCCAAACCACGTGGTCGGGTTAAAATGCCAATTCTTACAATAGTAAGGTTAACACTTATTGATAAGTGTTATTTTCATCAAATGACGTACATTTTAGAGCACTTAGTTTTACACACCTGAAAAAAAAAGACTCAAAAGACTAGGCCTACATTCTTTTTTCGCAATCAAAATGTTGTACCTTTGTTTTGATTACCGTAAATATCTACGCCATACTAGAGTCTATGTGTTTATGTGTGCCAATGTAAAATAAATTACTCAACGGAATAAAAAGGAAAATTCCTTCTTTTATTTTCCTTTATGTATTGGTACGCCAAAAACCTAGAGAAATAATCAAATGGAGCAGAAAAAAACTGTAGGGGATAAAAAGTATCCTCATCGAATTGCGAAGAGTATCTCGTTACGGTTATGACTGATTGCGTCTTATGTGTGTGGCAAAAAGTGAGCCGGAGATGGTGGCAAGTATGATGAAGTGAGGGAGACAGGGATGTGAATAGTACAACGAGTAAGCATGTAGGCAGACAAATTAGAGACCAATAATTAATCAGATAGACCTTTCAAAAAGCAAACAGAAAATGAAAAGACTGTGGGTGCATTTCATCCGAAATCAGTCCTACATTAAAATTTGCGAAATAATACGAAATAGCAAAACCCAAATAATATCGTTCCTGTCTACACTGTATTCAAGAGGATGGACCTTCGAAATTAGTGTCCACCTTCGATAGAACTAAGGCAAATGTATGAAGAGTATAAAGAAACTTAATATGAAATAAATCTAAATTCAGAAAGCTCCACTGGGGATTCGAACCAGCACAATCCAATCTGTAGTATACCATCTGAGTTAACGTCCAGCCGACCTTCAGTCAATGCTGGTATATTCTTCATATTTTGTAACTGTGTCTATTTCAGAGGGGTTAATGACAGTTCAAACGCAAGCAGTGTTCTTTGCATAAATCAATACATGTCTGATTACATGTCGTTGTCGAACCTCTCGTAACATTCTCTCCAGATATGAAAGGAATCGATGGCGCGAAACGGCCAGAGAAATGACTGGGGTCAGAGCGTTTGTCGGGGGGAGGGGGGGGGGTTGGCAGGTGACCCTGCTGATCTGTGGCAGCTCTCAGTTAACATAATACACACTGTGGTCGCTCGGCCATTGAAGATATCACGCAACTGTTCTTGATTTCCCGGCGGGTTTGCTCACGGTAAACACAGTAACCTCGTCGGGCAGAAGACTGGAATTGTTGAACAATAGGACTGGTTTACAGTGGCAAAGGCTGACTGTTTGACAGGGTAACCAAGAAGAGACAAAGAACCAGATAGAGATAAGAGCACATACTAAAAGAGGCTAGATCACTGAGTTGTGAATGAAAATAAATCCTGAATTAATTACTGTATATTCACCGACAAAGTAACCAAGAAAATGGCTCATTAATTAATATTTATTTCCACTTTGAGCTAAACGTAATTCTAACTTTTAACATGCAGCGGGAATAACGGTGTTAGTACTTTATAAAGAAGGCAAAGAACCGGGGAGTACAATACTGCAAATGCTTGGTGGGGGTGTTTTGGGGGGATTTTTTGGTTTTGAAGTTTGGTTGTCTTTTCCTAGCTTTTCGTGGCCAGGAATGGATACACTCACAGCAGCCATGAGATAACTAGGAGTTAGTCCCCCTTACCTTTTTCATGTAGATTCTACCATTTTGATATAGTTATCTTACATAGTCAGTGCGTGTGGCTGCTTATGAAAGTGACCCGGAAGGGGTGAACAAGGTATTTATGTGACAAATGGTGTAGGTGTAACGCTACTATCAACGCTGTTAGGTTGTTTTTTAAGGGGGCGGGACCTCCGCGTTTAACGTCCATCTCCGAAAGGACCAAGCCAAATGGGAAATTCGTGTAAAGTGCCTTTCCCAAGGACACAACGTCGGACCGAGCTGAGGCTTGAACCCCCGAACTCTCAAACTCACGATTACGAGTCCGGTAGCTTAACCACTAGGCCACCGACGCCACTAATGCGGCAATGAAACAGTTTAAGTGCTGTGCACACTGCTCAATGCTCATTGGTTATTTCATGTTCATGATGGTCTGTTTAAATGTCTAAGGCCAATGTCTGTGACGGTCTACGGGTGATTTTGGCTGCCACGTTATTCCCAAATTAAGGAAGGAAAACGGTGATTATTTGATTATGTAGACGCTTCGTCCCTGCTCGTTTACCTGTTTAGTTGTAAGCAGGAGCTAATTAAGAGAGAAAGAACAAGAGATGAAGAAACGAATAGGAGATGTTGAAAACTGATTCTTTTGTCCACATCAATATAGTTCATGCTACCCAGACAGCATGTGACTTCCCTGGGCCTGTCAGTGTCCACCCAAGCTGTGTGGGACACTTTAAAACAGGAAAACTGTTGTTGTTGTTGTTATTGTTGATTTTGTGTACATCTCTTTCATCATTCTACGGTTGATTAGAGGGTGCCATCTCCGAAATTAACGCCAACCTCCGATAGGATCAAACAAAACAGGTGGAGAACTTTTGAAAATTGCAGCGAAAAATCGAAGTTCTAGAACACTCTGTTGGGGATTCGAATCAGGGCCAACCGATCTTTAATCCAGCATGATATCAACTGAGCTGATGGGAGCTCCTGAAGAAAGACTGACTATGATCAATGTTGTATTTACTCTGCTTCCCTTGGGAGTCAAGTAAAGGTTCAAAGAAAGTCTGTAGCGCCGGTGGCCTTGGGATAAGGCTTCCGGACTCGTAATCGTGAGGTGGCGGGTACGGAGGTTCGAGCCGACGACCCGACGTTGTGTCCTTGGGAAAGGCACTTTTCACGATTTTTCCTCACTTCACCTAAGTTGGAATGGGTACTCGGCCATAGACAGCGAATGGTCTTGTCAGTTTGTTAGTGTTTTAGGGCCGATAAATGGCCGCTTGCACTGTATGCTTTTCAGGAGGTTGAGGTTGTTTCAGAATAATCTCATGTCTGTTGGGGTAATAGTATAACTTGTCAAGCGCATAGAGCTTGCAATTGAGCGGGGACTTGCACTTTACAAATGCTATCTATTATCATCATTATTATTATGAAGTCGCACCGTTTCCGGTAAAAGGTACAGAGAATAAGAACAATGCAACAAAACCGGCTGCTGAAGACATTGGGACTAAAAACATCTCAGAGACGGACGTAAAAATCATACTGAAAGCTGTACTTGTACTCCAATACTTTTTATTGTAAATGAATAACACCTTCAATTTCGATCACTTAGGAAGCTGGATACTTCATCCTTGCCTGCCACACAGTCAGGGTCCTCGCAGGCTGAACGGGACACATTATCCCAGCGCGCAGATGTAGATACTCGTTTTTTTAAACTCGGGAAACAAGTTCAGGCCTTCCATGTGCGCCTGCGAATAGCCTAACTGTTACACCAGATACCTTGGTCTGAAATTCTAAACAGAAATTACTTTTTTTTTTCAAGTAAAATTTAAAATGATAATGATCACTCGCATGTGACGTGATCCCGTCGTGAGACAGTATCGCTGATGACTTAGCGAGGGAATCTATAATTTAATAACTGACAGTTATATATAACATTAACTGTTGCTTTGTTCTGTTTTGTTTTTGTTTTGCTGTTTGTTTTGCTGTTTGTTGTTTGTTTTTATCCAACTTCGTTCTCTCCCGTTATCTCATTTCACACACCAATTCACAAAGTACGAATACGGAAGATCACGCAACAGTTCCTGATTTCCCTGAGGATTTATAGATTACAACATGTACATGTTCAGGTCTGATTTAAAGTGTGGAAAAGGAGGTACCGGTAGCAAAAAAGAAAAGAAAGGATTTAGAGAAAGAAACGCAAGGAGAAAAGAGAAAATCAGTAATAGGAAACTTAAAGTAAAGATTAGGGGAACGGCAGTACGGAGCAGGGAGTGGGTTATTTTGCTGGAACATGCCCCCATCACGAAATCCGCAAAAGTAAGGTAGTAAGTCATGCCATTTCTTGGTCTTTTCCACGACTCCTTTCACACAAAAACACCTACGACTCCTTTCACACAAAAACACCTACGACTCCTTTCACACAAAAACACCTGTTGTTACCGAATGGGTTTGTTTTTCAGTTGACACCAAAGCTCCGATAAAATCACCAAACTACATAATTTGTACGTCATGTAATATCCTACCAACAAAAATCAAGCTCGCAAGCCAACAAGTTAAGCCACTAAAAACATATACCGTCAACCGCGACACCCCAGCTGCTGTGTACGATTTCTCTATAAATATCAGATTACTATCAAGAGAGCCACCTTTTGTTCGGCTCCACGGAGTCAATAAAGTGTCTTGAAGTGATAAAGAAAAAAAAACTCAAAACAATACTGTTTTATAGACCTGGGCCGTTGGTTTGCGTGTTTACAGCATTTAACCCCGATATCTGCTGGCTTTTACTGACTTGAACGTGTTCAAAGACCTCGTATGGTAGACAAGTCGTTTTTTCTCGTAGACACGAAATGGTGAAGGTCCTCTTTAGCCCGCGACTCATAAAACAAGTATCAGACCCTTTGCACATGACGTCACAGCATTCCATATGTGGTCCAAAGTAAATTGTAGTTTATTCTGTTCGTTTATCGAGCAAGTACCGTGCAACTTTAGTAAGCTGCACGTATAGGATATGACACTTTACGGTGGTTTAATTAAAAGTTCTGAGTCGGTCTCTAGATGCACAAGGATTTTCCGGGGGGGAGGGGGTGGGGGTGGGGGTGGGGGGGGGGGTTCACTTTAACGTTTATCAGTTTCACCAAACCATGCATGTTGTTCCAAATCAGTTCCAAAAACCAAACACGGAGTAACATTAGACTACTGCACTATTCTTGAGTCATGCTTAGTTCCGCTCAGAAGGGATGAGTTTGATTCCAATATGAGGAAGCTGGCTACATAACAGAGGGTCTCCGTTTTTTAATTGGCATACATTCCATACTCCTCCTGGATTGTCTGGCGTACAAGGTCGAAGAAACACAGTTTCAAAACAGCCTATTTGTACCGAAGGTTGTCGTAAAACGTTTGCGACACGTTATACCACTCGGAATTGTAATGTTCACAACAGAAGGTTGTATTTTATGATTTCGACAATAAAAATCACGGTAGTTTTACCATAAACGCCATTGTATGCACAGTACTATCAACTGAAAACGCCATTGAATGCCACAGTATTGTCAACTGAAAACGTTATTGTCACAAAAAGGTGGTGAAATGGTACAGGTTTAACGCCCCTATCAACACTATTAGGTTATTTAAGCCAAGTGGGAAATTCGTTTTTTTTAAATGCCTTTCCTAATGACCAAACGTCAGACCGAGCAGAAGCTCGAACCTCCGAACCGCAATCTCACGATTACAGGTCCGGTAGTCTAACGGACACTTGTTTATACCGAAACCTCCCGAAAACAACCGAAATCTCCCAAAACCACCCGAAACCACGCAAAAAACCCGAGACCACCCGAAACCTCCTCAAAATTTCTATGATATGATGTTATTTTGCTATGCTATCTATCGCTCTGTGGAAAAAATATAGATCTGTAATACTGTACAATATTATCGTGTTTGGATTCTTCTTTTGTTTTAGTAAGTGTTTTACTGCACTTGCAACAGGATAAGGTCAAACAAGTGCCGAAGATTAGAGGTGTTACAAGAGAGCAACAAACACAAGAAAGAAGGAGGCGGGAGATAAGGACGATAGATGTGTGATAGGAAAGAAGGAGCAAAACACACCAGAGCACCCGCCAACCACCCACTTGGATACTTCTTGATCCTGAAAAAATTATTTAAACTAAAAAACAATACAATAGCATTATATACAAGAGACAATATTTCACTTGGTTTGACTTATTTGTTTTTATTTCAAACACTTTTTATTTTGGCATGTACATAGGAAAAGTACATATCTAAAAATAGTCTAGGGAATTAGTGGTATATGCTTTAGTTTTCATTCTACCGTACCGGACTTAAAAATCGGCTTATTGCATAACTGACGCCATTTATCAAAAGCTGCATGTACAATCAAAAATTCCTCAAGACAGTTTCTAGAAATAGGAGTCGTTAACATTTTGTGAAAGTTACATTAAAGTCGAATAAGATACAGCAAGAAAATGAAATAAAATGTGTGAAAATAGCATTTTAAGAAAACGGCGATAAAGGTCAGAAAAGGCCAAAATAGTTCTCTTTCCAATTAGAAACCAGTAAAAACATATTTTAAACTCGAACATGGCAACTTCTTGATAATATGAACGCAATAGAAATAGAATGAACGTTTCCTACTAAAATGAAACATATAAGCTGTGTAAAACATGCCTTTTGAGAAAAAAGTGGCAATTATTTTCTTTTTAAAATTCTTTACCCTCTGCCCTAAAATCCCTTCAAACACCACTTTAGGGTATAGAAAATCATACATACGTTTCTGGACTTTTGTCTAGGAAATATCCAGGAAATATATAATATAATAAGTGATAACCCAAGTTTTTTTTAAATTTCACCCAAAAATATTTTAGGGGTCACTTCATGGCCATAGAATACTTCACAACATGCACAAGATAACAGAAATTAAATAACGCATCATAACATTATGTGAAAATCTATACTTGAATACTGCTATAACACTAATTAAAATTCTACGAAGTACAGGCTATTAATTGCAACCTGAGCAGTCGCTCATCAGTTAAAACAAAATAAAGAATGAAGTTGAACAAAGATTTCACAAACCATCCTTTTCTCTTATAAAAAGAACCAAGAACCTCCCGACATTATATTTTATCCACAGAGTGATAGATAACATAGAAAATGACATCATATCATAGAAATTTTGAGGGGGTTTCGGGTGATTTTTGCGTGGTTTCGGGTGGTTTTGGGAGGTTTCGGTTGTTTTCGGGAGGTTCCAGTATAAACAAGTACATCCAAACTGTTGAACACATCCTTCAGCACTGCAAGACACGCAGGGCCCTGAGACAGGAAACGTGGCCAACCCCACTGACGCAACAAGAGAAGCTATACGGCCGCCAGATGAACTGACTAGGACGGCCCAATTTATGACAGATACCAGACTTCAAGTGTGATGCGATCGAGAAGAAGAAGACAAGTACAGGTAGTCTAACCACTGGGCTACCGACGCCACCACCACAGTCAAACTAAACGCTACCTATATTTTCAATTGTATCCCATTGTATTTTCTACTGTTAATGTTACGTTTTATTTACCTCAGACATTACTGCAATTATCTAAGGTAAACCTGTTGCATTTTTTGTCTCAAAAGGAAATGTTACTGAATTTTCTTTTGTTAACGTTATTCTATTTTTTACCGTAAACATTATTGTATATTTCTAGCTCACACGTCACCGTACTCTCCCCACAGACACGACTGTACCTTCATGAGTTGCTGTACCCTCTCCGGGGCCTCCATACTCCTGATCTCTACGATCGTGAACCTCGTCTTTTTCGACACTCCTCTCTTCTTCTTGCCATCTTTTCCTCCCTGGCTGTTTCTTTTCTTTGTCTTTTTCTTCACTCCTCTCAGTTTCTCCATGTAATATCTCTTTGGGTGATCTGCAGCATCGGGAATTCCCCGACTATCCATCGATACTGCCGGCATTGTTGGGTATCCTCTCGGTCACACAAGGAAATGTTTACGAAGGTTTGTCAAAAGCAGATTTCTGATGTTATTGTGCTAACTAAAGGTAAAAGTATATCGACGTGCGGTTGTAAGAGTGAATTATATAGATCTACCTGTTTTTACTCAGCCAATAGACTTTTGTTTCATATCTTTTAAAAGTTTAAAACAATTTTTCCCCTTCTGTAACGCAAAAGACGGAAATAAAAGAGACAAATTTGAGCACAAACAACTCCGGAAACTGGAACGGAGACAGAGACAGAGACAGAGACAGAGACAGAGACAGAGACAGAGACAGAGACAGAGACAGAGACAGAGACAGAGACAGAGAAACTCGTTTTTTGGATACGCTGTGCGCTTCTCGTTCGACAAAATGTTTTTAGCGAAATATGGATGTGAAGGAGACCCACAGTGTTCATCCACAGCAAACCTCACTCTGTGATTCACAAACTCACAAATTTGTAACAGCTTAATAAGTGATAAGTGTGTGTGTTACTTCCGAAGTAACTTCTTCATCTCAGTCTGTGTTCTTCAATCTAGTCTTTTTACAATGATAAAGACCAAATAGATATGTCTTTTTCGTGAATTATGGTTTCAACTTCATTCCAGAAAAATACATTCCTAATATTTCTTAACCTTCAAACATTGAACCTTTCAGTACTTCCAGTTCTCTACCAAAGAGAGTGTGGCGATACGTTCAGGATGGAATTTAAAAAACCCAAAAAACTAACAAAAAACAAGGTAACTGTCGGTTGCGGTTTCTACTTTTTTAAAGAAACGTAACTGTTATGGTTATCACAATGTTGTGTTCTATCAGAAAAAAAATATTGAGAACAGTAGTAAAGCACTGTTTCTAAGTGGTTCATGGAAAAAAGAAAGTCCGTGGTACACAGAGAAAGTTATACACTCTGTGCGAATGTCTCTCCCGCGGTAAAGTTTGGTGAACACTTTTAAAGGACTGAAGCGTGTGTCATAGTTTGCCTTCATAAAGAAGAAAAGCACAAAATAAAAACTAAAACTTCGAATCTCGTCACAAAATCTGTATATTATTACACAAACAGTGCGCCAGTGGCAGCCAATGGCAATCAAAGACTTTACCACGTTCCAGTCCAAGTAAGTGAAAACGACGGATTATCTCATTATTTTCACTACGGCACTCCAAAGACAAATCCTGGGTTGGACGCGCACACGCTCGTATATCAACAGCTCCCTAAACACTCTCACCACCTGTTTTCCCATGCAATGATTCTCGTTTATATCCATAGTAATATATCACTCAAAGACAGCACCACACCTGCAGATGTCTGAAATACTATACGGTTCTATCTGTCTGTAGATCTGCAGGGTGGAAATAGATAATTCCTCTACATAAGCGGTTTGATATGCGTCTTATCTCTATAGAGAACAAACTGGACTACCGTTGGGCAAGTTCGTAAACTCATTGGCAGACAACGCCATAAAATAATAATTCTCACTGGTGGGACAAACGAGGGGGGGGGGAGAGAGAAAGGTATTCGGTCATGTCCGGGTATTCAAATGAGTCTCTCCTCTCTTTCTTTGCACAATCCCGATCTTTCGTGATCAGAATCGATTCCTGATTGTCCAATCCGTTCGGGATCGATACGTTTCGATGGTAATATACACTTCTTTTGATTTTTGTTTTAGGGATTGGAGAAGAAGACAAGGCACGTGGAGGTGCTTTGGGGATCTTCATAATTATTATTTCTGGGTTTTTTCTTTGGCTTCGTTTTTTTCTTTCTTCTTATTTATGAGAGAAAAGGGGTGTAGTACTTGTCAAAGATACGAAAGGGAGGTGGGAAATTACTGGACGAAGAACATCATCATCATCATCATCATCATCATCATCATCATCATCATCATCATCTTCACCATCATCATCTTCATCATCATCATCT